CTGTCTCTCAGGAACTTCTCCGTGGTCTCGAAGGGGACGTTCCTGAAGAAGACGGACCTGTTGGGGTCCACCTGCGGCGGGTCCTCGTAGCCCTTCCCCGAGCCCCAGCTCTTGCCCCCGCCCTTGCCGCCGCCCTTGTAGCCGTCGCCGCCCCTGGGGCCGCCGCCGTCCTTGTAGTCGTGGTACTCCTCGTCGTCCTGGCCCCTGGAGGTGTCCTCCTCGGAGGGGGCATCGCACGAGGCGGGGAGTCATTCATATCCCCTGCCCGGGGAGTCGACGTCCGAGGTCGCCAGAGATCGATCCCACGGGCGGTGGCTCCGGACAGATCATCCCCTCCGCGGAGGGGGCCCGGAGCCCGGACCTCCGGCGAGAGATTTTTGAGGCCGCGGGCTCTCCCCCCCGATCTCTTCGCAGGCGCGCGGGGTGGGGGCCACGGGGGCGGGGGGTCACTGCCGCGGTGACAGGACGCCCCCCACGTGGCAACGCAACGGGTCACCGCCTCCACGCTGCAAAGGAACGTCTCCGCCTTGCGAGAGTGCAGCGTCCCCGCGCGTGTGGCCGTGCTGCAAAAAGGCTCGCTCTGCTCTGCATGCGCCGCCTCCGTGTTGCAATGGCAACGCCTCCGTGCTGCAGCGCGCAACGGCGCAGGATCTCCAGGTTGCCACGCAGCGCCTGCGCGTTGCACCACAATGCCTCACCGATGCGGTGGCCCCCTCTGCCGCGCCCCCAGTCGCCCACACGAGATCTCTGCCTCGGGGGGGCGCGCTCGCGCCCCAGCTTGGCGGTGCGCACCAGGGGGGTGGAGGGAGGGGGGAGGGCTTCTTAGAAGGAGGCTGCTTCTTAGACGGCGCCAGCCTTACATCTATAGATAAGGCCCGCACCTTCTAAGAAGCAGGGGTGCTTCCAAGAAGCTCTCCCCCCTCCCCCACCCCCCTCTGCGCGTGGCTGACCATGACCAACAGACGACCCTGGGGTGGGGTCGAAAAAAGCCGAGGACAGGATGAGGGTACTTGTTGCCGCCGGCGGCGAGGCAGAGGCAGTCCGCACCAACGCGAGGCTCATCGAAGCCACCGCAGCGTGCAAAGGGAAGGAACAAAGACGAGGGCGGCCGCGCGAGGGAGAGGAGGGGGGAAGCGCAGGATGAGGACACATCTGGATGATAAGATACATCGGATCTGTGAGGGCAGGCGGGCCTGGAGGGGGCATCGGGCGTCGCGGCCGTTGCAGAGATGCCTGGCTCGATCTGAGGGCGTTCCAGATCGCTCTGGAGCGACTTGGGAGCAGGGACCGACCGTCCTGGCAGTCCTACAGGCCTACCACGAAGGACCCAAACATGTTCGAAGATCAACAACAGTGTTCTTAGACCATCAACCCGATGTGTACAAACAAAAGCAGTCTCAGCCAGACGTGTCCTAATAACATGTCGTGCAGACCACGGAAGGTTCGTGGAACCGTCTTTGGTCGGCCTGTGAGCAAACCAGGACGCTTCGCCTCTGCTCGCGGTTTAGGTCTGCCTAGTCGTGCGCTCCGCGCGCCAGGCAGGGGGCAGCGCCGACCCACGGCATCCGAGCGGGCCTCCGAAAGTCTCTGATGCCAGCCGGCTCTTCGCTGTTCGCACACCCGGACTCGATCCTCGGACCTCTGCGGGGAAGGGGCCACGGGGGGGAGGGGCAAGGGCGCCCACGCATCAAGGAAAGTGCAAGGTGGCCGAGTCCAACTTCACCGAGACCATCACCAAAATTCGACTTGCGTTGTAGAAGAAGACAAACAAAACCGCCATAAACATGATTCATCGGCGCTCCGCGCGGATCTCTTGGATCTGCGCTGGACACCCCGGAGCGCGCCAGGGGCGGCGCCGGAGGGGGGCAGCGCGGATCCGAGAAATCCGCGCGAAGCACCAAAAGTTTAGGTCTATGGCGTCTTTTTCTTCTTGACTTTTTTCGGGCGTTGGCAGAAGTGGGTTTAGTGGGTCCCTGGTTCAGTGATGTGCACTGGGGGATGCACCCCCCGCCCCGTTACACCAACTGGAACTGCCGTCGCCCGAAAAAAACACGAGCTACGGCAGACCTGGCTCAGTGATTCTGGCCAAGTTGGGGGCGCTGGGGCCCTACTATCGGGTCGGGCGACAGGGGGCGACAGCAAAGGCGGGGTTTGAGAATCAGCTCACGTAGCTGATTTTCCCGGCGCCTCCTGGCGCCGGAGGGAGCCATGTATCGAGGAATGGGCCCCTCGGCGAGGCCGAAACCGGCTGCATGCACCAAATTTCGTACCCCCCCCCCCCCTATCCCCCCCCCCCTGTCGTCCGGCCCGATTCTACTAAGCGGGCCCCCTCACCTGGGGTCCTGGCTACACCCGACGTCTGCTTCCGCCGAGCTTCCGCCAGCAGAGCCGCCGCCGCCTCACTTCCGCGGGCTCCCCCCAGGTTTGTCCGCCCGAAGGCGAGACGACGCGCCGAGAGGCGAGGCCCTCCCTGGAGGGCGCTGCGTGGCGATGGCCAGGAGGCAACCGCACGCAGCAGACTTTGGGGCCCCTCCCTCTCCCCTTCTCCTCCTCCTCCTCCTCCTCCTCCTCCCTCCTCCTCCGGCCTCCTCCTCCTCCTCCTCCCCTCCTCCTCCTCCTCCTCCTCCTCCTCCTCCTCCTCCTCCTCCCCTCCTCCTCCTCCTCCTCCTCCTCCTCCCTCCTCCTCCCCTCCTCCCCTCCCCTCCCCCTCCTCTCCTCCTCCTCCTTCCCCTCCTCCTCCTCCTCCTCCTCCTCTCCTCCTCCTCCTCCTCCTCCTCCGCCTCCTCCTCTCCTCCCTTCCTCCTCCTCCTCCTCCGCCTCCTCCTCCCGCCTCCTCCTCCTCCTCCTCCTCCTCCTCCTCCTCCTCCTCCTCCTCCTCCTCCTCCTCTCCTCCTCCTCCTCCTCCTCCTCCTCCTCCTCCTCCCCCCCTCCCCCTCCCCCCCCCCCCCTCCCCTCCTCCCCTTCTCCTTCTCCTTCTCCTCCTCCTCCTCCTCCTCCTCCTCCTCCTCCTCCTCCCTCCTCCTCCTCCTCTTCCTCCTCCTGATCCGCCTCCCCTCTTCCGCTTCCTCCTCCTCCTCCTCCCCTCCTCCTCCTCCTCCTCCTCCTCCTCCTCCTGATCCGCCTCCTCCTCTTCCGCCTCCTCCTCCTCCTCCTCCTCCTCCTCCTCTCCTCCTCCTCCTCCTCATCCTCCCCCCTCCTCCTCCTCCTCCTCCTCCTCCGCCTCATCCTCCTCCTCCTCCTCCTCCTCCTCCTCACCTCCTCCTCCTCCTCCTCAGCCTCCTCCTCCTCCTCCTCCTCCTCCTCCTCCCCTCCTCCTCCTCCTCGACCTCCTCCTCCCCCCCCCTCCTCCTCCTCCCCTCCTCCTCCTCCTCCTCCTCCTCCTCCTCCTCCTCCTCCTCCGCCTGGCCAGCCCACGCGGCCGTGCGGAGCACGGGGCCCCTCCGGGTGAGCGGCCAGGCCCCTGCTCTTATGGGGCTCCCAGGCGCGAGAGCGCACGCGGAGAGCTTCTGGGCTTAGCTGCCCCGATACGCAACACGCGACACGCAGCGCAGCGATACGGTTCTCAACACGAAGAGTGAACACGCAGGTCTGACGCGATGCGTTCGCCAGAACGTGGGCCGACACGCCGAGCCAACACGCAACGTATTGACACGGACGTTTTTCGGGGATGGACAGACCTCCCTTTAGTAAAACGTGGTTTAGTGAAAACGACCTGAGCCCCGAACCTGGCGGGCGCAGGCCTGGAAAATAACGGCCACGGCGCCCTCTCGAGAACCGAAAACGGACAATTCACCCATCGACGTGTCACTGTTGGGGGGTTCTGTCCACCTCCGAGTTTTGAGCACGGCACGTGTTGCGTATCCGAACGGGCGTATCAAGGCAGCTAAGATCCCGAGGAGCATCCCCAGCAGATCCCGAGCCTCCACGAGGTGCTCCGAAGCTTCGCCGGGGCATCGTGGGGCCAGCCGCCTGCAGGCCCGCCTCCTTTCCCATGAGGCGAGGCCTCCTCCTACAGGCGGATCTTGCAGGAAAAGTGAGAGGTAGCCGAAAAACAACTCAAAGAGACACCACGAACACTCAAAACGTCGTCCCCAGACTATATGTTTGTGAAGCTATGTTTGAATTTTCCTCCTGTAGAGGGACACGCCCGATTTCAGTGAAGCCGTCTCCGACACCGCCCAGATGGTTCAGACCTTTCACTGCACCGACCTGCTGCAGCGGATTTTTGCGTGGATTCCTGTGAATGCGAAACCCCGAAACGGCGAGCGAAAAACAACGTGAACTTCGCGTGGATTTCTGTTTGGTCTTCATTCCTTGAAGCTCGCTGAGGGGCAGCGAACGCGATTTGTGTTTCTGGGGCGACGGGGGAGAGGGCAATCTTCTGTAGGGCAAGAGCAAGCATGAGCAGCCCAATCGTCGGCAAGAGTAAACCTGACATCAGAGCTTCTCGCGAAGGGCGGCTGTAAGGATTGCTGTTGACCGATCAAGCGCGCCCGCCGAGCGTACGGGGATCTGGCCCTGGAAACAACGCTGCCCCCCCCAGCGACCTTCAATTCACTCATTCCTGGCCGAACAAGAACCCGCACGACATTCACCTCGAAATCCCGAGCGGAGTTCTCCAGGACACTCCGGGCCCATCCTGCCGTTTTCCGAGTGAAGTCCGCGCTGCGATGCTGGCGCCAGTAGACCCTGGCCGATGGTCCACTGCCCAGCGGCGGAGGTCGTTCGGGCCGCGGGTGGCCTTCGACCTGCCCGCGCAACTGCCGGAGCGCACACTTCCCGCTCGAGAGTGCGGAAAAAAACGTACAAGAACGAACTCGAAGTGCATCGCAAAACATGTGCAAATAACAACGATAGACATCGAGAGCCCGAGAAGATCGAGATCGAACAGTCGGGAGGAGGAGGAGGAGGGGGAGGAGGAGGAGGAGGAGGAGGAGGAGGAGGAGGAGGAGGACTGGAACTGGTGAAAACGCGAAGCGTTATAAAGAATTAAGCAGGAT